CTCTCCCTAGATGTTGAGATGGATAAATGCATTGGCAAAGCAGCTACCACGTTCTCTAGACTCACAAAGAGAGTATGGCTCAATAAGAAGCTGATGGCATATACCAAGATTCAAGTCTATAGAGCCTGTGTCCTGAGCACACTTCTGTACTGCAGTGAGTCCTGGATGCTCTGTGCATGGCAGGAGAGGAAGCTGAACACGTTCCATATGCGTTGTCTCTGATGCATTTTTGGTATCACATGGCAGGACAACGTTCCAAATAGAGTAGTCCTAGAATGAGCTGGCATTTTTAGCATGTATACGTTACTGAAACAGCGACATCTACATTGGCTTGGGCATGTCGTGAGAATGGCTGATGGTCAAATTCCAAAAGATCTCCTGTATGGAGAATTAGTGCAGGGAAATCGCCCCAGAGGGAGACCACAGCTGCGATACAAGGATATCTGCAAGCGGGATCTGAAGGCCTTAGGAATGGACCTCAACAGATGGGAAACCTTGATGTCTGAGCGTTCATCACGGCCTCTCCCAATTTGAAGAGACACTTGTCTAGCAGGCCGAGGCAAAGAGGCAGTCCCGAAAGCAGCAAAATCAGGGAGCTGGACAGGGGACAGATTGTATTTGTCTTCAGTGCGGAAGGGATTGTCACTCTTGAATCGGCCTTCTCAGCCATACTCGACGCTGTTCCGTGTCCTCCATACAGAGCATGTTACCATAGTCTCTCGAGACTAAAGGATGTCTAATCTAATCTAAGGGCATAAATCGACTGAAATTTACACAGGCATTGATGTAATGTTGTAACTTTGAGCGCCAAACAGTGCTCTAACTGAATTGTTACTAACCAGCCAGGTTGTGTGGTTTTGCAAACTTATTAATGAGCAGCTATTTGCCACTCCAGAATTACATTGGTGAAAATCTTTAATTGGAGTCTAGCCTATAGCTATAAAATAGAGATGGGCCCAAACCAGAAGACACACACACACACACACAAACAAACAAACAAACAAACTGGGCTGGCTTGTGATTTGGTTCTTGGTTCAGTTTGGGGATCCCATTTTACCAAAATGAAACAAAGCACTGAACTTTTTCCCCCTCAGTGCTTCAGCAATACGGGATGCTTGCCCCCTCTCTCCCCCCCTCCCGTCACCTCCCTACCTTGTCTTGATAAGCCGTTACTGATGCCTCTGCTGCCGCCATCCTGAAGCGGCAGGCCTGGCTTCTTCTGTGGGAGCTGGGCCTCTGCTGCCTGTTGCTCAGTTGCCAGGCAGGCACATACACACAGACAGCAGGCTAGCTTTCAGTGTCTGCTGCCTCTCAGGATGGTGCGCGTGGCAGCAGCTTAAAGACAAAGTAGAGAAGCAACTGGGGCAGTGGGAGGGAAAGGGGTGAGTGGTTGGTTCCACCACCACCACCCCCGGTCACAAACCCAAAGAACAAACTTAACCACGAACCAACACAAACCATTGGTATTCTGGTTCATGCCCATCTCTACTATAAAACTTCAAAATCAGAAATGCCTTTGTGTAAAGTCACATCTGGACTGCATTCTCACAGATTATTAATTCATTGACATTTAAAGTGTTCTAGAATCTAATCAAAAATGCTGCAAATGTAGCTCACGAAATGACAGGATTAGATCCACAGTGGCCTGGAGCCAACAGGCAGGTGCAGCAGAAGCTCTCCGCAAAGCCTTGCCAACATGACTTAATCCTCACCTACAGAACCTCTGGCCAGACCTCACCCTTTCCCAGTGGATCCAGCCATCCATGCTGATCTGCTGGGATAACATTGCTGGGCACACAAACAAAAATCCAGGTTGAAATCAGTTCCTGTCAGTTCATCCTCGGTTTTATTTTGGAGAGGAACTACAAAGACAGACCTAACTAATTTAGGGGCCCTCCTCTTCCTTCCTGTGTAAAACTACAGCCCATAAGTGGAGAGCAGTTGATATTCCAGTGGGGAAAAAGGAAGGGATATGTCTGCAGTGTGTCAGAGGCAACTGTGGATAAGGGTGTTGGAAAATACCATTCGATCACCTGCTTATCCCTGCAATGTGTTTCAACTTTAATACTAGTAAAACATCAGTTGTTCATGAGAAGATGCATGTCTATCTTTATTCAATGCACTATATAGGAAGACGTTATTTGTAAATAAATAGACTTTGAAACAGCATCCATTAATAAATGCCTCCAATGTATGCAAGGTAAAACAGTTCATATGGCACCATCCAGGCACATCTTGATGGAATCTGTTTGTCCTGTAGCAAGAACAAACTACAAGTGTCATTGTGAACAAAAGTAAAGGCAAACCATAAAAATGAATATCCTGGATTGATGGATTAGCATATATGCATGTGTTATATTCTTGTATCTTTGTCTTGAGAATTGAAGGAGAAAGATGGGGCATCAGACTGAGAGCCTATCTTAGTCAATCATTCTGTTCCCTCAGAAGGCAATCGGAGGCCCGTAGGAAGCTCTCAAATGGAATATGAGTGCGAGGGCTGAAATGTCCTTTAAAAAAAGAGCACAAAATGGATGGACAGAAACAGAAAGAGAAATCAGCCACGAGAGCACCTCCTGCACACACTTTCTGATCTGCAGATATTAATTGTCCTTTATGTCTCTGAGACCTGTACACAGGCCATTCTGCAGAGATGGTGCCCCCTAGGGATCTCTGGACAGCCACTTTGAAGGCTGTTGTTGTCCTCTTTTTTCAGTCCTCCATTTCCCGTACCCATGAGCACTGCTTGCTTGTTTTTGCTCCTCTGTTAGGGATGATGGAGAATTTGGCTAACCATCAGGAGAAAGCTCTTTCCCCTCCCTCCTCCTCTTCTGTAGCTGTATATAGTTTAGCTGGACAGAGAGACAGGATTAAAAATCTAGCAGCTTCCTAATGACCCTAAAGGATTAGCGAGATCAAAAATCTCTTGACATCTTTCTGTGACTCATCACCAGATGCTTAATTCAACAGTATGGTCAGTACTCAGGATAACCTCTGAAAAAAACACAAACGGGATGAAGGTAGTGCTTGAAGAAATGAAATAACAGTGTACAGGGTGTATAATTTGTTTCAGATCTGTATAAATAATGAATGCTACACATTCCACTGAGTATTTACATTACTATTAATATAGTTAACCACCATAAATATCAGTAGAATGTAATAATATAATCCTTTCCTCGTGCTAAAGCACGAGGAGTACATAAGCTGTACAGGATGTCGGGATGCAAAGAGATAAAGGTCAAGGGGATACTGCTGAAAGTACTGACACACATTTCCTGAGAAATGTTATATGTGTTTTTCTCCATGCAATAAATAAAAGCCAAGGGTGTTAAAAAGGTCAAGGTTTCATCTTGTCGTCTTGCTCTCCCATAGGCCCTGCTATTCCTGTTGGGGTGGATGTACAGGTCGAAAGCTTGGACAGCATTTCTGAAGTCGATATGGTATGCAACCTTGGGATTAAACTTTGATTATTTTCATCTGCTTTGGTTTCAGATTAAAGCACGGCGGTCCACTGTTAACATGTAATGATTTCATGCATATGTTGAATCTTTTCAGCCTAGGACAAACTTAATTCCTGATGGTGGTTTTAATTTGATTTCACATGATACCATGCTTCACTGTTTTTATGCTTTTTCTTGGCTTTATATTTTACTGTCCTTGGTCCTTTTTTAAAAATTATGCAGTTGTTTTACTATATATTTTAATAAGCTGTACATCAGCCAGACAACTCTAGCTATTTAGTTCAATTTAAAATAAGTGCAAGATCAATAGATAGATGGGGGAAGATTTTAAGAAGAATAGCACTAAGGGCGAATAGTTAAAGATCTCTTTGTTATCAGTGTTATATCAATCTTCTTCTCAGTATTCTCCCAATATAACATTTATGTGTTTACTTATTTAAAATATTGTTATCTTGCCTTTCTTCTTTAAAAAGACGCAACGTGGCTTTGTTGTTCTTCTTGTTTAGTCCTTAAGACGTGTGACCCCAGAGACCAGAGCACACCAGGCCTTCCTGTTTTCCACTGCCTCCTGGAGTTTGGTCAAAGTCATGTTGGTAGCTTTAATGATACTGCGCAGCCATCTCATCCTCTGTTGTCCCCTTCTCCTCTTGCCCTCACACTTTCCCAACATCAGCGTCTCTTCCAGGGAGTCTTCTCTTCTCATGAGATGGCCAAAGTATTGGAACCTTGGCTTCAGGATCTGTCATTCCAGTGAGCACTCAGGGTTGATTTCCTTCAGCAAGGTGATGTCTCTGCTTTTTAAGATGCTGTTGAGATTTGTCATTGCTTTCCTCCCAAGAGCAGGCGTCTTTTAATTTCATGGCTGCTGTTACCATCTGCAGTGATCATGGAGCCCAAGAAAGTAAAATCTGTCACTGCCTCCATATCTTCCTCTTCTATTTGCCAAGAGGTGATGCGACCAGTGGCTATAATCTTAGTTTCCTTGATGTTGAGCTTCAGACCATTTTTTTCCACTCTCCTACTTCACCCTCACTAAGAGGTTCTTTAATTCCTCCTCCCTTTCTGCCATCAGAGTGATATCATCTGCATATCGGAGGTTGTTGATATTTCTTCCGGCAATCTTAATTCCGGCTTGGGATTCCTCTAGCCCGGCCTTTCAAATGATGTATTCTGCATGTAAATAAAATAAACAGGGAGACAATATATAGCCTTGTTGTACTCCTTTCCCAATTTTGAACCAATCAGTTGTTCCATATCCAGTTCTAACTCTTGCTTCCTGTCCCACATATAGATTCCTCAGGAGATAGAT